ATAGAGCGCGTCGTTGATAGTGAAAGCAGCTACTTGGAACAGTGAGTGGAACTAATGCTACCACGGAAGAGTTGTGCTTCAAAAAGCGTTAAGTAGTTAGGTACAGAGCACGTCGTACGTTGGGTTTCCCCACGTGTTGAAGAGTGACTGCGTGTGGTGGTTCTGTGGAATTATAAGTGTACTTCGGGGGATAAGCGGCGAAAACGACAATAATAGTAATTATAATATGTTTATTACATATAAATGGGAACCTACGTCTCGATTGCGACGGATAGGATGATATGTGAGCAAATGGACGTCTTGCTTGGGACGTTGACTGGAGGTAGCTAGTCTAGTGTATGGAATATGGCAGACTGGTGGACTATTCATATCATGAGTCCGCCTCATGATAGTACTCAAGGACCCACGCTGAGAGAGGTTCTAGCCCCAGACGTGGAGAGAGGAGGTAGAGAGTGGGATCGTCGTCGCAGACGACGATAAAAGTGGGGGGAGGATCGTGGCTGGTCGCTGGAGAAGGGAGGTCGTTGCCGTGAAGAAAATGTTTCCGTTGACGTGGAGAATTCTCTCCGCAGGAAAACTCCGGAAAAGGGTGAGAAGTATTGAGGAAATTCAGGAAGATGGTAAGTAGGATGAGGATGGCGGGAGAGGGGAGGGTGGGGGAAGAGTTGTGCCAGAGAAGAAAATTCTGAAGGGGAAGGGGCGCATTTCGCGGGAAAAAAAATCCCAAACGGCTGGTTGGATGCTAGGTGAACATAAGAAGGCATCCTGATGCAGAGCCCTCAGGTCGTTTAGACCCACCAGAAATAGTTTATTTTTATTGAAGCGACGGAGAAAAGATTTCGACCCAACCACAACCCTAGTGAGATGGTGGTGGGAAAGACCTCAGGGCTTTGTGACGCGCTTCACAAACTCAAGAACTCCCGTTCCCCCGAGCGCCGACGAAAATCCTCATCTCCTACTTCGCAATCACCCTTCCAAAAATAAATGTCGTCAGAATTCAAAAAAATCAAAGAATTTGATACAAACAAAGCTCGTAACATTCGTAGCGTTGAAAATCTCGTCACGATGTGGGACCAATTCAATCCAACGAACTAATGAAACCACGATGTCCACCCAAATTGAACTAGCGGTAGATTTGGTCTCGTGGTAGTATATTCGAACCATTTATAAACACAACGTGATGTCAAAGTTTCATGTTTTTCCCAATCGAATATTGTGTATTCCCACGGCCAAAAACAGATCTGTTGAATACTGATTTCCCATGTACTTTGTCATGGGAATATGCCCGATAAACAAGGCAAAGTCACAGAAACGAAGAGGAAAGGCATACGATAGACTAGCCGTGGTAATGGGGATGAGAGTCGGGGGAGGTTGTTGGGCGGAACTGGGACGTTGGACTAGTTCAGTGAGTAAATATTATGAAGTGGTCGTATTATTGCTCATTAGGTTATTTTGGAAGTGGACTTGTTAGTTCTAGGAACTTCTGCAACCAAGAATGTGAAGATCTACCTAAACCAATTAGTAGAAAGAAAAAGTGTTTCCTTCGAATTTCTCCCCGTTGAGAATGGTGACTATGAAAAACTGCCATTTTTTGCGTGAACACGTCCTATTCCAATTCAGGCTGGACTGAATTCCATCCACTCCAGGTCTACGTTGAAATTCCGGTTCACACCAATTGTCAGACCGTGTCGCGTCGCATTTCATATGCGATTGTTCATCTCAAAAACTGGATTTCGTGAATAGTTCAAGCAAAGCGAGGATGACTAGGACTAAATTTTACACTCGAAGAAATGTAGCCGATCGACGTTCGGTCTCCTCAGTGAATTTGTTCTTTTTTTGCTAGATTCGCGCATAGACCTCAACAATATTCAAGGAACTATTACACAAGATGGATTTGAAAGTCTTAAAAACAACAATTTCGATATGTTTTTGTTTGTATGCATGGCTGAGGAACGGTCTCTCTCTCGGAGCACACTCACACCTTTTACACGCGGTTCGTGTGACTGGTGACTGCTTTTGTGCTCCATATCTCTGGGATGCGGTGGGCGTGGCTGTGCACCCCGTTTGAACGTGTCGGCGACTGCGCTTTTAATTAGACGTTTTCATTTTCGGATATGTGTACTTTTGTCCTCGTCCAATATAGGACAAGATGCAGCAGTTTCAATCTGATATCCTTCAAATACCCTGAGGTGGAGGTTGTTTAGTGGCAAATAACACTAGGCACGCGTTCGGATTTTACATCCTGGATCATCTCCTGTTTAGACCAGCCAAACGTCCTACCCTCCGTGAACGGTAAACTGGTACCAGATAGGATAATGACGTCTAGTAGGATAATGACTTTGAAAACGTGTAAATCGGCTGTTCCTCGGAAGTCATTGCATAGGTCACATCGCATTCAACAAGTTACTACGATTCTTGAATAGAATAGAAGTAGAATGCGTGCCGCATCCCAAAAAGGAACTGATCAACTGTGATGAGTTCAGTCATTATCCTTTTACAAATACCCGCACAATATCACCCAAGATGGATTGGAAAACTTTAGAAACTTTAGAAAAATCAACTTCGTTATTTCAAAGGATTGGGCTGCTCTGGAGCTTACTCACAGCTTTGGTACGCATCGGTTTCTGGGTGGAGCTATGGGGTGACTGAAGCAGGGCACGTCATCGTTGATCATGGCCCAATGGGAAAGGAGGGCAACAATGGGGCCTATTGTGATTATTTGGCAGAGCGCTGACGTTATAATTGTGGCCCAGGCAGGGTACGCCATCGTTGTGATCATCACAAGGGGGGGGGGGGTCGTATTTGACCGCGAGGGAGGGGGGGGGGTCGTATTTGGTCAGAGAAAATTTTTTTGATAGTTGATTTCTCTTGTTTCACGGACGCTGTAAGGGGAGGGTCGTACTTGGTCATTTTTGGGAGAGGGGGGTCGTATTTGGTCAGTTCATGGGCGCACTACATTTCCGAGCTCGAAAATCGATAATTACTTTGACGATCCCCCCTCCCCCTCCCCGCCTCGATCGACTCGTGAACGTTACTAGGAAGACAGAGGGCTGGGAGGGGGGGGTCGTACCAACTCCCAAAAGGGGGTCGTATTTCAAGTATGGAATTAGGGGGGGGGTCGTAATTTTCAGGAAATGATCACAACGCGATGGCGTGCCCTGGGCCCAGGGTAAGGAGAGGGGCAGGGGAGGGGAGGGGGAGGAGGGCAATGTTCGGTTTTCCTCCATCTTGGTGGTATGTTTGGGTTGCCTGCACCTCTATCCCACCTACTCAAGCGGATGTTGAGAAGTCCTATTTTGAATAAGGTTTCCCATTAGAGCAATCCGCCCGGACATGAGAATAATTGCGCAGTTCATGGGATTAAATGCATGTTAAGCAAACCTCAAGGTTCTGGCTAGTCCCAGAAGCTAAAGGCAGCGCCCGCGTATTATAATTTATGGTATGGGGGGGCTCAGGTAAGTACAGCAGCGTAGCAAGAAGCCTATTAGTGAAGAAAAATCAAAGAGAAAACACGCAAAATGCCCTAGAAGGAGTTTCATACCGAACAACGGTTGTACGTGCTTAAGGCGAAGAGAAGGAGTGATTGCACGAGTTTCCACTTGTTCATATCAGCTGTTTTCCCTTATCACCTCACTCTCACCACTCCACGTGGAGAGAAGCAGCAATGGAACAACGCACCATCAGGCAACCATTAGAAATGAAGTTGGGTGGCGTGGTCGGCAGGTGGGCGGAGCCGTCGGCTCTTTGCGGGCGGACGCCGCTGTTCCGTCGCATTGGGTTGCGAAACATGCACGTCCACCATCCTCATAGGGGGAGGCTTAACTAGATTCCAGAGAGGGCGTGAGAAGACCAATGACACGCGGGCGCTGCTTTAAGTAACGCACCGATAGAGACGGTAGAATGCATAGAATAGTCCTGAAGGCTTAGTTTGGTCCAAGCTGACCTCGTTTTTCTTCATGGTATCCTTTTGCTCCGATAAAAGGTGGTGTAGCCAAGAGACGCATAGCTCGGGGATGAAATTGAATACCTGGATCGGTTACCGCCCGTGCAAACCATGCTTTCCATCGCATAAGAAAAGGTATAAATTGAATTTGTGTTGAACATATCATGAAG